CCCCATTTGGATGCCTTTTATATTATTCTCTTGTCTGATTGCACTGGCTAGAACTTTGAGCAGCATGTTGTATAGTAGTGCAATAGTGGGCATCCTTGTCTGGTTGCAGTTATAAGTGAAAAAGCTTTCAGTTTTACTCCATTCAGTATGATATTGGCTGTGGGTTTGTCATAGATGACTTCTATCAGTTTAAGAAATATCTCATTTATGCCTATTTTCTTAAGTGTTCTTATGAGAAAAGGATGTTGAATTTTGTCAAATGCTTTTTCTGCATCTGTTGAAAGGATCATATGGTCTTTGTTTCTGTTTCCACTTATGTGGTTAATTTATATGTATGGTTTGTGTATGTTTAACCAGCTTCACATCCCAAATGAAGCCCACCTGATCATGATGTACAATTTATTAAATGTGTATCCATATTCTGTTGGCTAGGATTTTACTGAATACTCATGTGTCTATATTCATTAATTAAATTGATGTGTACTTTTCTTTTTTTGTTGGATCTTTTCCTGGTTTTGATATCAGGGTGATATTTGCTTCATAGAAAGAGTTTCTTGTTCCTATGGAAGAAGAGAGTTCCTTCTTTCTCAATGTTTTGAAATAGGTTCTGTAATGTAGTTATGAGCTCTGCTTTGAAGGATTGGTGGATTTTTAGTATAAAACTGTCTGGTCCAGGACTTTTTTTGTTAGAAGGCTTTTTGTTGCAAATTTGGTGCTTGATATTGGTCTGTTTAAGAGTTCTATTTCTTCCTGGTTAAGTGCAGGAAGGTAGTGTGATTCCAGCTGTTGGTCTATTTCCTCTATGTTTTAGTTTTTATTCTTTTAAATTTGTTGAGGTTTGATTTGTATCCTAGGATATGATCAACTTTGGAGAATGATCCATGAGCAGACAAAAAGAACATATGTTCAGTATTCTTGGGGTGAATGTTCTGTATATGCCTGTTAAGCCCATTTATTCCAGAGTCATTGTTTAACTCCACCATTTCTTTGTTTAGTTTCTGCTTGGAGTATTTGTCCAGTTCTGTTAGTAGGGTTTTGAAGTCCTAGGCTATTATCTGCTGTAGGATATCATATTGTTCATATTGGTGTTCATTTTACACATCTGAGAGCATTTAAGTTGGTTGCATAAATATTAGGATTGAAATGTCTTTTTGTTGTATTATTCCCTTGACCAGTATATAGTACCCACCTTTGTCTTTCTTTACTTTTGCTGCTTTAAATCAATTGTATCAGCAAATAGGATTGTGACTCCTGATTTCTTCTGATTTTCATTTGTATGAAATACTGTTTTCCAATTCTTCACCCTGAGTCTTGTTTTTCAAGGTTAGCTGTGTTTCCTGAAGACAGAATATACTTGGTTTGTGCCTTTTTATCCAGTCAGCCAACTTGTGCCTGTTCAATGGGTGAATTCAAGCCATTCCCATTCATTGAGAGAACTGACAAGTATGATGGGGTTCTGTTCTTCTTGTTTTGTGGAGGTCTGTTGCCTAGTTTTATCACTTGGGGTATTGTGGAAGATAAGCTTTGTCCTTTAGTGTCCAGGGGTCGTTACTGTGATAGTGGTCAATTGTGATGATCTATGTGTAGTATGGTTCTGAGGGCTTTCTGGTGGTCTTGGAGTGGCAAATTTCATCAATATTTGCTTGTCAGTAAATGAATTGATTTTGCCATCAAATATGAAATTTAATTTATCAGGAGACAGAATTTTAGGCTGAAAGTTGTTTGAGAAGATTAAAGACAGGTGACTACTCTCTTCTGTCTCATTGAGTTTCCACTGAAACTTGAGCCACCTGCAATTTTTATTTTTTTCCTGCAAGGTAGTGCCCCTTGGGCTGCTTCTATGCTGTTGTCTTCCTTTCCCTCCAGCTGTGTGAATTATGTTGGGACCCACAACTTAACATCTGAGATGGTAATTGGTGCTTGTAAGAATCAGTGACACCCTTTTTGATTGGGTCAGTTGATGGCGCAATGAGCTGTACAGTTGTTCTTCCTGTTAGAAGTTCTTGCTTGCAGGAAAGAGACAACTATAGAGCTGTTCTTTGGTGCATATAATTAGGCCATTGGCTTCTCAGGAGAAGGACTTGAATGCCCCAGACAGTGAGTGGGGCCCTGAAGCTCCCAGGTGATAACTTGTTCTCCACTACAAAAGAGGTGGGTGGTGGGATGATGCTGAGGGGGGTAGATCAGGCAAGTTTGCCTCCAGGCTCCACAGACATAAGTCTTAAAACTGCCTGGCAAAGATGAAAATTCAGCTCTTAGGCCTCTGGAGAAGGCTTCAGGAGAGGGGTATATAGCAGCCCTATCCATCTGAAAGTCTTCTAGTGAGGAAGGGGCCCTTGCCAGTCACTGACTGGTTATAGGAATGATTTATGCTTCCTTCATTCTTTCCATACTTTGAGAGATTCCTGCTGTATCTGGTTGTAAATAGGCACCCACATTTGCCATGCTCACCAGCAATGGAACATCAGGCTGGGAACATCCTTGTGCATGGACCTACCTCAGTTCAAAGATATGGTTTTCCTCCAGGGGATGAGTGCTCCACCAATTTGTTGCAGCTAGAACACACAGTGATCTCCCCAGTTTGTTCTGCCCATGTGGCTCCCTCTGCCTCTTGAGTTTAGCTCTCAATTTTCCCCTAGGTTCTCACAAGAATCCCCATTAAGTCTTGGGGGAAAAGGATCTATCCCTGTGTATAGCTTGCTTCCAGGTGTCTCTAGGGAGTATTGGTGGGAAGGAATACTTACCACCCTTAAGTCCACTGCAGATCCTTAAGGGGAAAGGTGTGGGCTACTTTCTCTGTTGAAATCTCACATTGGAGGGTGCACCAGCTGGCTGCATTTGGCTGCTTGAAAGTCTTGTTCAATGGCTCCTTTTAGCTTCAGTGAGTAGGGGAGCAGAAGAAGAAAAGAGTCTGAATGGAAGAGAAATGGCACTCCAGTTATCCCAGTCATTTTTCCTGGAAGGAAGCCCCCACAAAATGTCCAAGCCCTGGGACATACAAGTTCTCCAGGGTTCACTACAATCTGAGTTAGAAAGCATCTTTGTGGGAACAAGTGATGTGAAAATTATAGGGAGAGAGCTCCTTGGGGTGGAGAGAAGAGTGGTATGGATGGGATGCAGTATGATAGCCTATCTCTTTGCTCATGACTGTGGGAACAAGGGCCAAATCCCAATGTTGTTGGAAGCACGATAGTTTATTTTCAAGTGGACCACTGTTCATTGGTTGCAGGTGCATTTGGGCTCATGAAGCACCTGGGGCTATGTAAGGTCTTGAGCAGTTCAGCAGCACATCAGCCACCAGATGAGAATGAGAAGGACAAATAGAACACCTATCTATCACCTACATCGGTCTATGAGCTTATGCAAATTATGTTTCTGTCCCTCCAGCACCTTTCCCCACCTAACTACACCTTAGCTCTTCCTATTTCCCCTCTCCCCTATCTGAAACTCCTCCTTCCTTCTGGGAGAATTTGGCAATCCTTGTATATTTGTCTAAAATATGAATTTTCTTTTTTCTGTCAGCTTTATTAAAACAATTCACATTGAATAATGAGAGCACATGGGGTCTGATCATAAAAGAAGAAAGTGATAAACCTTTCCTCAGCCCTTCTCAGCCTTCTATTGAACCTGTGATGTGGTTCATTCCCTATACCCAGATGAAACCTCTGATAAGCCACAAACATATACTCTCCTTGTCAGTTAAAAGACCTCCCATCCTTGCACACACAAGAATAGCCTCATTTAGTAATGAATATATTTCAGCTAAGTAAAAAATTACACTTCAGATCTTCATTCAGAGTTGGAGCTTCTCCGTCTCCCTAGTTTGAGCTGACCTTGGAAGCACTGGGTGTAGATAAATGAAGAAGGTATTCATTTATGAATTTCATTCATGGAAGCTGTTCCTCCATCTGGTCACGTTGTGCTTCCTCTCTACTCCTCTAGGCTGTGAGCCAGGTTTCCAGATTCTACACACTCAGAGTAGGGGAAGGAGAAGACCTAACTGGAAGGAAAGGAAAGTCTAAGCCTTGGTAAATGAGGAAGCTGGGTGTGTAGTTGAAAAAGCAGACTTCTTTCCCTGGGTGTTTCTGTGTAAATTCTCTAGAGGCTTTGCTGGAACCTTTTTGCCTTTTACTCTATTTTTGTGATGTAAGAAAGGCATTTCTTCTAGCTCCTGCAGACATTTTCTATCCAGAACTTGCACATTTATTTGTATATTGCCCTAATATTGGCCACTTTCACTCCCCAACCTTATTTTCTCCTTCCTTCTTTTCAAAAAGGAATTAAAGTGAATACAGATCACCCCTCTCTTCAAGAGCATATATTATAAATATATCCATGAATCCTTGCCTTATATTTCTTGAGGTATACTCGGTTGCCAGTTTCATTATTTCAATTCCTATGCTTCAGGCAAATAACTAACTGCTTCTTGCTCTTAGAGTGCTTAAAAAATGTTAGGCCACTACTATACTCAAATCCAGAAAACACCTGGCAAACGCTTCCCTGTTAGTGTCTGTCTGGCCATCTCACTCACTAGGATTAAGGTGAAGTAGGAGGTTTTAAAACAGGAGCTGAGAAAAGAGACTCATACAGTGCTGAACTGCTACACACAATTAGATTATAGGTTACTATAATCTAATCCTATGTTCTTCTTCAGGGAAGTGATGAACTCAGATTTCATATTACTTATTCTGCAAGGCTATGTGTATAACCTTCACTGGAGTATGTATGTATTTGTAAGCTCTTTCTCAGAGCCTCAGGAAAAGATTATGACAATGAACAGTCCATTTTAACGTTTTGCAATAATTTTGTGTGAATTTAAAGCCATTGTCTTAAAAAGAAATATTGTCTGACATAGAATAAACCTATTTCTTCAACACTGATTAAATATCACCTTGGCCAATATTATCATCAATTGGTAATAATAGTGAATGTAGGAATTACTTTCAAGATCTTACAAGATTTTAGGCTAAATCTCATTAAATATGTTTTTACTCCTTCAGTGTGATGACGATTGTGCCCTATTATGGCCTAATACTCAATTTGGAGCACTTGGGAAGAAATGTCTACGTGTTCCAGGTTCTCTTTGGTGCTGTCACATTCATAAGCAGATTTGTTGCCCTTTGGACACTCAATCATATGGATCGTCAAATAAGCGCGATGTTGTTTATGTTCCTGGTAGGACTGTTCATTCTGGTCAACACCTTTTTGTCTCAAGGTGAGAGAGACAGGGGTTTGGGGAAGGAGTGTGGTTCCCACAGTCCTCATGGGTTACATTGGTCTTAATTGCCTGATGCCAAAACAACGGCCATGACATTGAAAGCCAAAATGTCCCCTGAAGTTAACAGGAGGGTGTGAAACTGAATCTGACAAGTTGTTGGTAGGACATGGGCTCTCACTGAACCAACATCAGCAAGGGGTAGTTCACACACAGGGTTAACTTCATCCAAGATGCTTCTAGACATCAGCTCCAATTATGCTTAACAATTTCTTTACAAGAATAACTAAACACATACTCTTTGTCTACTCGCCATTTTACCAACAACCATGGAGGAGCTAGGCACCGTGATTGTATCCTAGAGTGGAAACTTGATACTCTCACCTCTTCTATCTTTGGACTTTTTACAATTTTTAAGGCCTCCCTAACTTGTCCACTTCTCATTCCCATGTTTTTACTTTTGAGTTTTGTATGAAATCACCGTAAAGGTAATGCTTTTGTAGAAGAGGATTCCTTTTTTTTTTTGAGATAGAGTCTCACTATATTGCTCTCAGTAGAGTGCTGTGGTATCACAGCTCACAGCCACCTCAAACTCTTGGGCTTAAGTGATTCTCTTGCCTCAACTTCCCAAGTAGCTGAGACTACAAGTGCCTGCCACAATGCCTATGCTTTGGTTGCATTTGTCATTGTTGTTTAGCAGGCCTGAGCCCGGCTCAAATCTGCTAGCCTCGGTGTACGTGGCTGTGCCCTACTCACTGAGCGACGGGCTGCAAACCTGTAAAAATGGATACTTGACTTCCATGAAATGAAAATCCCTTGTCCTCAAGCTGAAAAGAAGTATACAGTAGGAACAAGGGTTGAGTCTCATCTGAATATGTCTCTTAATTTTTTTTTATAGTATGTCCCTATACAAGAATCAGATTAAGTAACTGACCCAGCCTCTCCTACAATTTGTTTTCCCAAATTAATAGAATGACCTTATTCAGTGATAACAGAAACTTCAGTGGTTACCATGCTCTACCTATCTCCTATGGGAAGCTGGGACATATTTTCAGGACCCCAGATTTGTGGGCTCTACTAATTCTTATGCAATGCTGTTGCCTTATAGGAAAGCCCTTTCCATTGTTTTAGTCCTATTTTGGTTATTATTATTATTTTTGAGTGTCCTTTGGAATTATCACTGTCAGTGGTTCTCGATATGACATTGCTTCCAACTAGGAGAATTGTTAGGTTGGTAATCCTGATTTATCACTCTAGAACTTCTGTCTGTTCACCTTGTTCACTCCCAAATCTACCCCATCCTTTTGTTACTATAAGGTGCAATATCTGTCCTATATCATAATTTCTTCCCACATGTGCCTTATCAAATTTTCTCTTATAATCCACGTTTTGTTCTAGGCTATATTGAAACTGCAGAGAAAGTATTATACAAAATAAAGAAAACAAATACTTCCCAACTCATATGCCCATCTTCATTAGCAATACTCAAATGTGCAGGGATAGTTGAAGCAACTGATTTAGAGCCTCTTATGTGATGTTTAAGCTCTAGAATTCTACAGTCTGCAATTCTTACTTTATCCACCATCCCCAACTCAGGTATGTTGCAGTTTGTCTTCCACATATTCCACACTTGCAAAGTCCTGCAACAGAATCTTTCTGTAAGTACTTAGGGGTTGCTATCTTCAGCCAAGATCGCTTGACTCTTAATATCTTTCTCTCTGTAGAAATGCAGATGCTACGTGTGGCTCTAGCAACTTTGGGAATTGGTACTCTTTCTGCTGCTCTTACCAGCTTTGGTGTCCACAGCGCCGAGCTCATCCCCACCATAGTCAGGTATAAGAGCTACAGGCCATCTGTCTGGTTTTAAAACAGGACTTTCTGAACACATTAACATTTACTGTGGAGAAAAACTGACATGATTTAGATGTCTGAGGAATGAATTATAATAGAAATAGAGACAGCAACCAATAACCAGTAATACTTAAAACTAAGTTCATTCCTCGCTATATACCAAGTCCTTTACTGCATCATCTCATGTTTTTTTTTTTTTTGAGACAGAGTCTTACTATGTTGCCCTTGGTAGAGTGCTGTGGTGCCACAGCTCACAGCAGCCTCAAACTCTTGGGCTTAAGCAATTTTCTTGTGTAAGCAATTCAAGTAGCTGGGACTACAGGTTCCGCCACAATGCTTGGCTATCTATTTTCTTATTGCAGTTGTCATTGTTGTTTAACTGGCTCAGGCCAGGTTCGAACCCACCAGTGTTGGTGTATGTGGCTGGCACCATAACCCCTGTGGCACGGGCACTGAGCCTGCATGATCTCATTTAATCTTAACACCACTGAATTGGTGCTATGGGTATCTCTATGATGAAATAGGGGTTTAGAGTAGTTACCAACATAGTACCTTTAAATAGTTGAGACCAATAAAGTTGAATGTCACAATTAAGAGCTTATTGTTAAAGCCATGTGTTTAATAACTGTGTTGTATTGTCCCCCAAAGTGACTAAATATGACAAATTTATGTGTACAGATGTGTGGAAGATCTTTTTGTCTTTTATTTTCAACCTAAGGGCAACAGTTGGAGGAATTTGTACACTGTCCACTAGAATTGGGGCAACACTGGCTCCTTTGCTGATGACCCTAATGACATATTCTCCCCACCTGCCCTGGATTACTTATGGAGTCTTCCCTATTGTTGCTGGCCTTGTTGTCCTCCTTCTCCCAGAAACCAGGAACTTGCCCCTTCCTAACACCATAGAAGACGTGGAAAATGAGTGAGTAAATCCTTCACCTGTAACCTGAGTGGAGAGTGACTGCGTGCTATAGTTCTGTGATGATGAAGGTTATGATCATGTCGGGCCCTCTGTCCTTCATGTAGGCTCAAACCTGGCTGTTTTGTATTTGGCCCCATGGTCTTTAGTTCAGTGGCAGCCTCACCCCTATCCATATGGCTGGCTCCCCTTGAGGGTCTCTAGATCACACAGACCATCTCACACCATCAGCTTTAGTGGTGAAAAGGTCTAAGATAGCCCTATTGTGAATGGCTACATACTCTCTGCCCTTATGGGAAACACATGATCCTATTGGTTTTTTCATAAATCTGCTAACACAAATGCCTCATTCTTATCCCCTGATTTTGTTACACATTATCCCAGGAGGTGCTGGATATATTGTTGGGAAGGGAATGAGATTGCCTCATAGATACCTGATTATTGCTTCAGTGAAGGAAGAATTATGGCACTGGAACATACAGCAAGATCTTCTGTGCAAAGAAAACAACAATATATCAAGAAGACATAGATCCTGTTGGGAAAATTGAGAGATAAATGAGAGATTTTTGTCAAATTTGGTGCCACAGGCAATAGAAATTTCAAGGAGAAAGTAATTAAGAAAAGAAGAAAACAGTTAAAAATGAGGGATAATAAATAGCTTTATGAATTTTACTTCATCCTCTGATTTCCCCAAAATGTCACTGTTCATAAGTCTAAAGAGACAATGGTGAGAAAAGCAATATTAAAGTATGCCCTGGTATCAGAGTCTTTCCCAGCAGAATAGTGTCAAAATCCAGAAGGTTTTGCATTAGAGAGTTGGTGGATAGAGTTTCAGCTTGTTCTTAGGCATGCAGGATGTGTACACTTATTCTATACTTTCTTCCTTTTTCATCTTGATTTTTATTTTGGCTTTTTATTTTTCAGCAGAAAAGAAACAAGAAATGTAGAACAGGAAGACACTTGCATGAAAGTTACACAATTTTAAGGTGCTCTCAAGACTTCATCCAAAGCAGAGAAAAATAAAGGGGAAAAATCAAGATAACTAATATAAATCCATGTAACTAGTGAAAAATATAATGGATAATAATTCCGCTAAGTGATAGTTTGATTTCAGTAAGAAGTTTCAGATTTCAAAATTCATCTAGATATTATGAAAAGCCAAGATGATTTATGAAAAAAGAGCATCATGGAGTGATGATGGGGCTGACTCAGGTGTGGTGAAGCATATGCTGGATGCTATTATAAAACTACAATCACCAGTAAAAGCCAACACATCCTCCAATTATAGCCATTCCAGAAACACACACAAGTATGTATAAACATTTATCAAAGTTTTGGCACCAAGAATTATTTGTATGTTATGATAGACTATGCAATTAATATTATTAATTATCTCTTTAGAAATAAAATAAAAAAATTATGAGAATGGTTTTCTGTTAAGGGCAAAATTATATATTTTTTCTTTATGTTTTTTTGACTTAATATTTTAAATTAATATGAATCATTTAAAAATATTATAAATGTAAAATATTAAAGGACAATTGACATGTCAAATGATTTCAACATGTATACCTAGATTTGTGTGCCTATTTAATACATATTAATCATAAAAAAATATACTTCAATACAAAAATGGGCAAAGAGCAAGAACAAGTATGTTTCAGGGGCAAAAACCACATGAATAATAAATATATAAGAAAATGAAGATATATTCATATTTAATGGCGAGCAAAATCATATATACTAAACTGAAATACCAGTTTTCGTTTGCCAAAGCAACAGTGATTTTAAAATGTCTTATTCATTTTCATAAGGCAAAGATGCAGTGGTAAAGATATCCATACAATGCTGGAGGTAGTATGAAATAAAGCATGATAAAAAGCTGATTAAAAAAATCAATGTCCCATATTTATCAAAAGTTTAAATTTAATTTTTATTCATTCACTAAACACAGAACTTGTACAACCTACTATATTAGTTCCTGTCATCTACCAATAAAGCTTCCTTTCCAATCCACATTCTCTTCTTTTTTCAGCTTCCCTATTGTATTTCAGAAATTAGCTTGTGCTGTGGACTTGGTAATGTTTCTTTATGAGTTCCGCCTAAAATTTTAAGGTCAAACATCACTTAAAAGTGAATCTCACACACTCTAAAATCACTCCAATGACAGCTAACAGTTGTTGAATCAAAGTACTATGGTCTGGTTTATATACTTCCTGTTCTGAAAAATGTAAAAGTAAAGAAGCAAGAACCACATTTCCACATTAATTTCCTACAGATGTATTTTTTAAATTCAAACTATACCTAGGCATTTTTCATGTCTCAATGGAACACAAAGAAGATTTCTATATTTAAGTGTGCTATTGAGGAGCTTCCACCCTATCTAATATCAAGATAACACTGTAATACATCTTTGGTTTCTAAACAATGCATAGAATTATGGATTAAGATCAGTACTTAGTAGGTCATGCCTGTTTGAAAAGACAATTTCAAAGATTAAACATGGAGAGCTGCAGAAGATGGCTGACTACAGACATCAGTTGCCATATTGTACCAGAGGGGAGAAAGAATTTCCCATAGAGGAGAGGGGAAGATGGAAACAGCTCTGGTGTAGCTCAGGGGAGGAAGACTCTGGAGCCTGCTGGTGACTTCAGGGAAAGGAATAGCAAAGTCGAACAATAAGAAAAAAAGGTATTGACAGAAATCTAACCTGGAGAAGCTCAGAACCTAGGGAAGGCAGTAGTTGGGGGTTTTGTTTCAAATTGTCAATGGACTGCCTGAAGTTCCAACTCAGCTGCAGTCATTCACCTGGGACACTTTTGAAAATAAAGTACTGGACTTGCATAGTGCATCCCACTTATATTACCCTCGTCCACCCAGGGAGCTGCAGCTCTACAGTTTTCACATCACCTGTTTGTACACAGACAGCTCCCCATTCCTGCTTAGATTGCTTGTGTGATCCCAGAGCTCAGACATTTCACATGGGCTTCCTTCTAGGGAGACAGATCAGAAGAAATGGCATGACCTTTTTTTTGAATTCAGGGTCTTTTCCTCACCAACTCCTCCCCTGTCCACTATAGGTGAGAGGGGCCATTGAGCCAAGACTTTCAAAAGTGGCTTCATGCACTCACATGGTGTGCCATCCAGTGTGAGTTTCCCACAGAGAGAAGGGCCACACATTTCCTCTTGAGGACCTGGAGTGGACCTAGGGATGCTAGGTCTGGAAGTTTCTTGCCCTCCAATACTCCCCAGGAATGCCAGAGAATGAGAAAGGCAGGGCATTGGCTTCTGTTCCATAAGTACTCAATGGGGTTGCTTGAGGGCAAAAAGGAATGCATTGAGAGATAACTGGAGATGTGGAGAGACACACATGGGAAGAACAGACAAGAACGTGCACTGTGGATCAGAGTTGCATTGAGCTGATAGAGTACTCATCCTCCTGCCAGAAGACCACACCTTCGGACTATGGCTGGTCCATGAGTGAGGCAATTCCCAGCCAGGAATTCCCATCTCTGCTGAGCATTGCAAATTCTGGCACCCATTTACACCCAGACACTGGTGGGAAGTGAGAGGGTGGCAAAAGTCACTCTGCATAAATTACTTACTGATTTGCAGATAGGCCCTTCCTTACTAGCAGACTTTCTGGTTTTGTAGGGCTTGTTTATCACCCTTCCCCAAGGTTTTCTCCACCTGCTGGAAGGTGATCTTTGATCCTTACTGACACGGTTCTGTGTCTTCTGTCTCTGGAGCCTGGAGGGAGGTTCACCTGTTCTGCCTTCCTCAGAGTTGCCCCCAATCACCCACTTCTGCTGCAGTGGAAAACAAACATTACCCTGTGAACTTCAGGGGCCCTCAATACTGTCCAGGGCAGTCAAGAGCTTCTTCTGATCAGCCAAAGCCTATTATAGGCACCAAAGAACAACTCCGCAGTTGGCTCTTTCTTGCAAACACCAACTTCTGACAGGGGGAACAACTGGACAGTCCATTATAGTATTTACTTATTCAATCAAATGGAGTGTCACTGATTCTTACTCACAGGTACCACCTACCATCTCAGATATTAAGGTGGACGGTCCAAAATAATTCAAACAGCTAGGGTGAGAGGAAGACAGCTGTGGGGTAAGATAGGATTTTGCCAGAAGGCATTATGTTTTCCTTATATAGTCATAACTACAGAATGATGTCAATGATGCCAAACTACTGCTTGGTGCTTTGCCACTGTTGTTCCCTTGGATATATAAATGTATAGGAATTTCCACTTTCATAGACTTTCCGTGCCTGGTCACCAGTGCAGAGAGCTGTATCAAGGTACATTATACCTGCCTTTGGCTCCTCAGTTCTTTGGCTTCAATATATCTGGTGCAAACCTACCAGGTATTGACCTCTTGCATTACAATTGGTGTAGTTGGCAGTATATGTCTCAGGCAGGTATGAAGCTTTCTGTACTCCCAAGGGTAGAATAGGAGGGTGGCCTATATTGAATGTGTGGTACTCAGTGGTGAACCTATTGTCTTCCTGGGTTTCACCCCAGGAATGGACTGAAATGGATGGGACTCCATAGTGAGTGTCTGAAGTCTCCATAGCACTGGGGAGATTTTTTAGAAAAAGAGTGCCTATGTGGCTGCTGGGGCTATGGGTTGGGTGTTTCTTACAGCCCTGTGAGCAGTGACAGAGGTAATTCTTCATGAGGCAGCTCATGTTTGTGAGCTCTAAGAAGAATTGGTGGAGAAGTGACAGCACCATCTGGTCCTGGAAGAGACCAATCACCTCTTGGTTGGGGAATGGCTGAAAGGGCAATGGTACAGCAAGACCTGGAGTTGTGTGGAATCTTTGGCTATTGTGATGGTAGATGCCTCTAAAGAAGAGAAGGAAATGAAGTTCTGCACTTTCAGGTGTGACTGGTGGTCACCCAGAAGGTAAAACCCATCAATCTAGGGTCTGAGAGGATGCCCCACTTTGCCCCTCAGGTGGAACCTTTCTCCTTCTATCCATATTATATACACAGATGGAATTGATGGGATTGGAGAAACACTTCAGACAGAAGCCTAATGAAAAGCTAGCTGCCTGGATGTTGCAGTTGTGGAACTTGGGAGTGGATACTATTGTTTTAGATGAGAAAGAAATGGAAAAGTTGGCTTCAGTGATTACCCACCCTTTGCAGCAGCATCTCCAAAATAACTGCTGGTATGGTCAGGGCACCCACTTATTAGATTAGGTGATGGCTATGGGTCTGCATAGTGTGGATCAATGCCAGAGACCTGCCTGGATCACTAAGCAAGTGGCAGTCATATTTGGAAATGCAATAGGTTTTTACAAAAGTTGGGCATGCATAATGCCATGTTTAATTTGCATGCTCTGGGTCCTGATGATGAGCATCTCCAGGCTATCTGAGCCAGGCTAGTGTTCCCAACACATGTGTGGGGAAGGAAGCAGGCCTAAGCAGAGGGTACTCTGGTTTGTAAGGAAAGAGGGGGACGGGCTGTGGCTACAAGCTGGTTGGAGCCAAATTTCCTTCTCTTCTGCCAGGCAGGAGGGGGATTCAGAGGAGGAAACACAAAGGTGCAGGAAAGCTGGGTCTCTGGTCCCTCATGGAACTTATCTGTGGAGTGAGAGATCCTATCGTTTGCTGCTCCTGGAAAGCCTGCAATGGAGGGGAGGCTCCCCTTTACCCTTCTATTTACCTCTGGACTCTTCCAAATCTGATCCACTCCATAACTTTGCTCTGCTCTCTCTCTTCCTCTTTCTCGTCTTGGTCCTTATAGTTTCTATCAGTGGGGCTGCTGAATGTCTATTTCTTCTCCCTGTGATTTACCATCCCCCCACCACTTCAATTGCTCTCAGTTTCCTTAAGTCCAATATTCCTCCTTCTAGCAGGGACAGTGCGATGAGGGCTGCCTCTAGTCAGCCATCTTGCCCCTCCTTCTGCTCATGTGAGTAATCTTAAAACAAAGAGTTAGTTCATGCCATTACTTAAGAACTTATAGG